CCGGCTATAGGCTATAGGACCGTCTATCAGCATAGGCCACTTAGGGCCTGTCTGTCCTAGGGGTAGCCCGGGCCTACTCTACGCAGTTAGGGTAGCTGTAGGAATTCGAGTTAGTACTGGGCCGATATTTTCCCAGATTGGCAGATATTTCCCTCACGAATGTCCTTACAGGTAGGTCTCTCGGTTAGCCCTCAGCCAAACAAAATTACGAATCTATCCTACCGCTGTACTATACAGCCTCACAGTCAATCTCAGCAGTAGAAATCAGCAAGTCAGTGCAATGTGGCACGGGTGATAGCATGCAGGCTGGGTGGCACCTCTCAGGGCAGGTCACACTATTCGGACTGGGTGGCAATGGGTGGGCTGGGCCGTATCATGTGGCCTGGGTGATACTGTGGGTTGGGTGGTACCACATGGGGTGGGCCATACTATGCGGACAGGGTTGCACTACGTGGGCCGGCAGTATTATGTAGCCTGGGTGATACCATGTTGGCAGGGTAGCACCACATGGGGTGACTTATACTATGTGGAGTGGACGGAACTATGTGGGCCAGCCGGTACAGTCAATGGCTATTGAGCGATGCTACGTCGGATGGGTGGTACGAATAGCAAAAACTGGAGGGGGGAAAAAACGCACTACCACGAAGGAAAAAGAAGAAGAAAAAGCCAAGCCCAAGCCCATGTGGCCTGGGTAATACTACGTGAGTTGGGTGGTACTACGCAGGGCAGGTCATAGTATGCGAACTGGGTGGCATTATGTGGCCTGGGTGAGACTATGTGGGTTGAGCGGTACCACAAGGGGTGGGTCATACCATGTGGATTGGACAGTAATCTGTGGGCTGAGTGGTATTATGCAGCCTGGGCGGTTTGGGTGGCACTGCATCAGGGGGTCATACTTGTTTTCAGCGAATTTTTCATTGGAACTGTCATATTGGCTGCATCTCTCGGACTGCATGGTGCTATGCGGCTAGAGTGATACTAACTGGACTGGGTGGTACCAAACAGGGTGGGTCATATTATGTGGATGGGGCGGTAGTATGTGGGCTGGGTGGTTTTGTGTGGTCTGGGCGATACTATGTGGACTGGTTGGTACTACATTGGGCGGGTCATACTATATGGGCTAGATGGTGCTATGTGGGCTGGCTGGTGCATGGGGTAGGCAGGCCATGCTACGTGGGCTAGATGGTGCGACCAACAGAAGGAGAGAAACCACCAAATAAAAAAAAAGTCAAGCCAAATGGCACAGCACTTTTTTTTTTTCAAAATTTGGGCCATGTCTCCGATGATGCATGTCATCCTTGCATGGCTGAATGGCACATGCCAATCTTCTTGATTTATGTGTGTCATCCTTCTCACAGGGGCCATGCTTATCTTCTCTATTTATGCACAGGGGTCGTGCTAACTGTCGGTAAGCAGACCTGAGCTCGAATCCTGAGCTTTTTCATCTTTTTTAATCCCATTTAATTAACAAAAAACATGGAAAACCTTATAACCCATGTGGGTCTGGCGACGGATTTGAGCTCGTGACCTGCTTACGGACAGTGAAGGCATACTCATACTAAAACCTTTTCTACTGAGATGTAGAAGTAATTGCTATCAGATGCACCGTGGTGGTGCCGTAATGGGAGTCAGATACATTTAAAAATGTGCCCGTGTAAGTATGCCCTGACGTATCTTTTCTCCGTCTCAACGCGCCTACTATGTACTTGTATTTGTACGTCTGGTCCTAGCAACGAGGATTGGACTTAAGGCCTGAACCTGAATGTGTTTGTGGAGGCGTGCAAAAATACGCGATTGATCTGCTTTCTGCATCCCTGGATAAACCACATCCCAATTCAGCCGCTTAATCCAGTCCTCTTTACTAGAGGGGCCTTGCCTCTGGCGCCATCCACTTGCGCAGCGCCACAGCAGAACGCAACCGCCCCCCCTCTTCCTCCCCCCCAAAAAAAAGACAAAACCGGCATTACACAGAGCATGACAAATGAAAAGGCGGAAAACAGAACCCGATGAACAGAAGAATCGCGAATCTGACAGCAACTAGACGACAAAAAAGAAACGAACACATTCCATGCAGGGCGCGCTGTCCCACGGTTCTGGGTCTTGTGTGTGCCCATCATGTGAGACCCGGGTTTTCCTTTATATAAAGAGTATAGATAGATATAAAAGATAGAATATTACCACTCTCTTTTCCCGTCCTCCTTAAACCACCAGTACCCCGCCCAGGAAAAAAAAAATTGCCTTCCTGAATTCAAGAAAGAGCTTTGCAGGGTCGGTAGAGGCTGGGTAGAGCGTCGGCAGAGGCAAGGGGTTCGTCCGTTTTAAAAACGAGAAGGAACGACCAGAGAAGACAAAACAAAWARAAMAAAAAAAAAAAAAAAAAAAAAAGAGAAAAAGGAGTTCACAAAAAAACGAACTGAGCATGGCAGGCCGTCTTGTGGTGCCCTGCCAGCAAGGCAGGCCGTATTGCACGCTGTAAGCCTAATCTTTGTTCCCTTTTTCTGTTTTCTTTCGTTTTCTTCCTCCTATCTGTGTTTGTGTGGCACCGAGCTACTTCGAGATGCCGGTGAAGCCCTGAGTGTCGGCATACTCACACCAGTACTGTTCAGGATGTATCTGACCATTACCGCAGGCAAATGATTGTTTTTTTTTCTCGTTTTTGCTATCTTGTAGTGCCCTGCCAGCAAGGCAGGGCATTTTCCACGTTCTCAGGAAAGGCCCGCACTGAGGCCATACTCGTGCTGGTACTTCCCCGAATGTATCTAACCGCTATCACGGCCTAATAAATATTGCTGTTGTTGTGAAATTTCCCCCCTTCTATTACGCGTTGTCAGGAATGCCGTCATTCAGGGCATAAAAAGAGGGGAACGGGGAGGGGGGGGGGGGAAGAGGAAAAAAACAAAAAACAAAAGGAAAGACCAAGGGGAAAGAAAAAAAAACGCTCTACGTAGAAGTACCGGTTGCCCGACGTTGAAGGACCGGTCGCCCGCTGTGTCACTGCTTTTCACTGGGTGCCTCCTGCCGAAACAAAAAGGTTCGGAAAAAAAAAGGCTCGGCAGACTGCTCTGTAAGGTACTGGTGGTTTAAGAGTTTTCTCTATGCTGTCTGCTTGCTGTGTGTTTTGGGTCATTCCCGTGTTTTTATTTGAGTAACGAAGTTAAGTACCTTTAAGTAGTGCCAAATAGTTGGTGGCGGCTTGTACAGAGTGCCTGTAACACTATTAGGGGATGGGTGTGATTCAAATGACTGTCTCTGTGTTTTCCGCTGGTGATTGACATTCATCAGGTGACTTCCTGCACCTTGACGGGTGGGAAACACGGCCTGATGGGTTTTCCATATGATGTGAGTGGTTCATAATACACTTCCTGCATCCTGTGACATTGACTGTCTTGCTGTGTTTGTGCCCGCCTGACTGCCCACTCGCCTTGCCATTCACTTGTCTTGTCTTGCCTGGCCTTGCTGTGCACTTGCCTTGTCCTTCAGTTCACTTGCCTCGCACTCACCTCGCCATTCACTTGTTTTGCCTTGCCTTGGGACTCGCCTTGCCTTGCCTCGGCACTCACCTCGCCTTGCCTTGCCTTGCTGTTCACTTGCCTTGCTTTGTCATTCCCGTGCATTGCCTATGTTGTGTTGCATGCTTTTTTTTGCTTCCCCACAGGCAACATGTTTTGAAGTTTGGTTATGACTCATGTGAGGGGATTCCACAGACTGTCAAGGGTTCAGCCTCCTGATGAGTCGAAGCAAGTCGATGAAACAGTCCATCATCAGTCATGTTCTTTTCATTTGTGTTTTAAGTGTTGTCTGTTTCTGTGCTTTATATCTGCATACGTGTGGGGAGCTCAGGGGATAGACCTGCCAGCCTCTGTAATTGTTTAATTGCAATTATCTCCTGCATAGTCAATGGGATAAAGTAAGGGCGGTGTGGTTATTTGCGGAGCATTGCGAAGTGGGTGGGCCAATGTAGGAAGTTTGGCTATGGGCTGTACAAAATACAACAACTTGTCACCAGCATGGTCGGATCGCAGGAAACTGTGGACTTTTCTTAGAGCGTTGCACTATGGGTTACAGTTTGAACACACACCCAACACCCGCACACACACACACACATCTCCACACACACGCAAGAGAAGAAAATAGGACCCCTGAGGGAGGTCAGCAACAGAAGACTGAGAATTCCACAGGTTGATACACTTGACCCCTGCCCACTTGACCCTGATGGGCCCTACCCCTGGGGAGCATATCCCAAACATAAATGCTAGTATGAGGTTGACACAGAATTTGCACCGCCACCAGCAGAACCCACCCAGGATAACATGACGCTCTTTATAAGGATGAGTCAACAGGGCTTAATCCCTGGACTCTGAAGGTGAGCTACTAACTAAAAAGGAAACATGGATCGAGTCCCAGAGCACCGTGGTTTTCTTTCCTTAAAAAACAAAACAACAACAACAACAACAACAACAACAACGTGTCTCCAAGAAATGGCTATCACCCAGCTTGAGCACGCTTGCCTGCCTCTTATACAAACGCAATGCTTTCAAAGTAGCATTCTGGAGCTAAAAACGGATGGGCAGCTTCATGCCTGAAACCTCCACTCAATCCAAGTCACAGCCTGCCGAAAACTCTTAAAGTTTTTGGCTAAAGAGATCTTGTCTGCAATCTACCACACCGCCCACGTGTTACGTGCCCAGTGCAGACAAGAGAGCTAGAAATGATCAAACATTCCTCGGCCACACTCTGACGCACCTTCTTCTCCATCCCCTACCTCTCCTATCCCTGGCCCTGCGGCCCAACAACCAGAGAACAAAACTCCCTCGATGCTGCCAACTCTCAGCCCCTCCCACCAACAAAGTCAACCCTGCTCACTGAACCTGTATGCTCGTTGGCTGTTAACGCGTGACTGAATTGATGAATGCACCTGTTCCACGGGACATCTTGGACACCTTGTCTCCATAGCGCATTCTCCGTGTAGGAAAGTTTCCTGGGTTCTGCTCCTGCCCAGCAAGATTCACATGGTGGCCTGAAGGAGCAGGCCTGGGCCCCATCTGTGGCTGCATCATTCCTTGCATCATTGGCGGCATACTCATGAACCCGTCCCTTGTCCTTCTGCCACTTTCCATTTGCCAAGATGACTGGTTTGGCAGATAGTTAACTAACTGGTTGGCTGGGAGAGTAGTTGGTAGAAGATTGTTTTGACATGCTCTGCCAAAGTATAGATTCTCTCGATAGGCATCTATCACACCAGTTAGAAGGTCAGGTCCATCCTTAAACACCACAGTCTCCATGCCTTCTCCGCCCACTTCATCTCGACCCTTGCTAATTCCATAACTATTAAGGGGCCTGACTGAGCTCGCAAGCACTGAATGATGATTTGGCTTCTGCACCAGCCAGGGCTGCAAACCTCCATGCTGTCTTCGATCCCCGACAGGAGTTCGTAGGTTCCCGGACCCCTCTGGACCAACCTGATCATCCAGACCGCCACAAGTGGCCCTATTATGGAAATCAGTCGTCAAGTTCTCTGCATTTTCCATGCCTAGGCAGATGTAATAAGGGTAATATGGACCCTGAACAAGGACGGGAAACTGTGCCTGGAGTGCACATGGTGGTGATGGCCTGATCCTTGGAGAGCCGGCAGTACTCAGTAGCTGCGATTCACTAGTGGCCATAAATGCACAGTGATATGCTGATCCGAGAGAGCTTGCAGGAGTTCCTGCAACGGAGATTGATGGCATCTGAGGCAGATGGCTCATTGGCATAAACATGGCCCCTCCAATGGGCATCCCTGGGGGCAGAGTGGAGGAGCTGAGAGTCACTTCTGATGGTGGACATGGCACACACAACGGATCCACAGCTCGAGGATTCAGAGACTGTATGGGCATATTTGGTGGCAAAGTAGGGGGTGATTGCGAAGGCACACAAAACTGGCTGCAAATGGCCTCTGAGTTTCTACCAGGGGATTGGGGGATTAATTGAGGAAACATCACACCTATTGCCATTCTCTCCCGTGCCTCAAATTGTGCAGGAGTTCGGCAAGGTTCTCCCATTCTCTTGATTTGATCCCGTGACCTGCCGGCATCTCTTCTCATCGTATCCATCATCACGCTTTCCACTTCCCCAGTTGTTACACCCCAGACCTTCCCTCCAGTCCTCGCCTTTCCGTTTCTGTGTTTCAGGCCTCCTGATCTATTATTAGACTGGATTACACTGCCAAAAGGAACTTTCCCTTTACTTGCACTGTCATCGCCCTCAACCTTTTTGGGAGTCGCTACTCCAGGTGGCATTTCCATGCCCTGAACATCCTCAAACAAACCCCGTCTAGAAGGCATAAGCATTCCATCCCGTGATTCGTACATTCGCTCCAATGGGCCCTGCTGCCGAGGTGGTGCATTTGGAAGGTGTCCTCCGAGTGTCTGCATATCAACGCCCCTAGACTGTGTGTTCACTGCTGCTGAAGCACTCCCAAGCCTCCCCGGCATGTGCAACATGATTCCCCCAACACCACATGGGGATAAGCCCCCAAGGTGAGGGCCTACAGGGTCCGGTGGAAAAATAGATAGTGGCTGGTCAAGCCTGAGGCCACCCTGTGATTGGACTGTTGGTACCATTGCTCTGCCGCCTTCAACCCAACTATTTACTGGCAGCATGCCGAAACCCGCACCCCTGTGATGTCTATCGTGAAGCAATTGGTGGTGCTGCAGATAGTGTTGTTGCTGCTGTTGATGCTGCTCTTGCTCCATTCCCATCGCAATCCTCTGCTGTTGCTCCATTCCCATTATGATCCTTTGCAGCTGTTCTTCGTCCATGCCGTTCTGGTGTGCAATGTGCGTCAGATGCCCATGGCCTTGTGCCTTCTCACTCAGCATGGGATGGATTGGGAGCCCACGACCGCCTCCTGAGAGCCCAACCTGAGACAATGGAGGATGTGATGCACTCCTCATCCCATGTGCGCGATGCGTACAACTAGGACCTTCTCCCTGAACTCCCATCGCACCGAGATCTCCAAGAGGGAACGCACGTAGCCCTGTAGCTGGCCGAGGGCCCTGCAGGCTTTCTTCCATACTACCATTGCTGCCCATCGCACTACCTTGCATGGCCTGCTCTTCGCCGAGAATAGGGATCGGACGCATCATCACTGCCGAGACTATCGGAACAGACATTGGCAGCTGAAATGCACGTATGGGCAAAGGCAATGGCATAGTCAGCCCTGGATGCACAATCGACAAACTGGGCCCCCCCGAGTTCTGCACTTTACCAGTCAAACCTGCGCGCTTTCCACTCATTTCAATCGGCAACGCGTGGTCCATAAAACCTCCAGTTCTAGAGAACAGCCTCGCACTCCCGTTCGTCAGCATGTCTCTATTCCTTCCAGAAGCAACATGTCTTCCCACTAATTGCAAGGAGGCATAACTTCCCTCTCCTTCTATTTCGCTGCCATACCACCCACCTGAAGATGAGGCTGATGAAGCATCATCCTCGTTGCCTAGCTCCATTCCTGCCCCTCCATGTACACCACCCACCATTCCCCAATTGAATGCAGCTGCTTCGTTCTGCACAGGTGTAGGTCGGATGCAATTCACGGAATTATACCCAACATTCCGATCCATTGCTCTGGCTCTACAATCCCCTTCCCCTTCCCATCTTGAGAAATCATCCGTCTGATCCTGAGCATCATCCCCTGACCTCCTTATACCGATCCCCATCCCACTCTCATAGCTCACGCCTCTGTGTTCTTCCCTGCTTGGCATGCTGAAGTGACCCGTCGTCGAGCCCATATGACCATTGGTCCTCTGGTCCCTTTGCTCATCATTCGGTGATCTCATTCCACCTACGCTTGACACTCTGCCTCCCCTGCCATCCTCACCCATTCTCACTGCTCTCTCATTCTGACTGATCCTCCTGACACCCATGGGCCTTCCAGTGATGTTCCTACGGTCGACATACTTGAGGCTGCCTTCTGCCCCATTCACAAGTCCACCAGTGGCCCTCCGTCCAGTGCCGTCCCTCCACCACCCCTCGCCACCAGGATCACCGAGCCCTGAGCCATCAAGCGAGGCCGCATTTCCAGTCACCGACAGCAGCTCAACCTCCACGTTCAATGCATCTGCTCCCTTAACGATTTGCCGCTCCCTCTGCAAACTCCCATCAGGCCCACCACAACAGCCTATGCTCTTGTGCAGATAGGCCTGGTGATCCTGAAGCGAATGGGGAGGTGGCGGATACAGCTCGTAAGGATGCCTTGGCTGCCAAACCACCTCGCTGTGCTTTCTTCCTGACAAGTTACCAATTCTTTCACTGCTTCTTGATGGAATTGCATCTGGCACATCTGGTCTTCTCGCCAGTCGCACTCTATCCCAGCTGTAGGAAAAAAAATCATCCAAGGAAGGTGCTATCTTCTCTTTTGGGCTATTGAGGATCCCTGACAAAGCCCTTGCTCCAGCATTCAGCTGATATCTAATCTTGGTGAAATTGCTCTTACTAACACTCCGACCAAGGTTATTCGTCACTATCAGGGGATCCATCACATTCATGTGTTTGGGATTGAACTGCCTCGCACGGCCATCTTGGATATTCACTGAGTACTCCAATCGGCATTTCATCCAGAATTCATCATTCAGTAGAACCTTGCCCCCTTCTTCTGAGGATGAGAGGTGCCCACCTCGATGCAATGAGTTCTCGGCAAGTAGGTTAGCGAGTCTTTCCAAAGGTATTGGCCCATGTATGCTAAGTATGTACCCGTCCCAGTCAAATGAGCTGAAGAACTGAAGGAACTTGAGAAGAACCTGAAGAGGTCCATGCAAGGTAGAATGGTATAGCTGGAAAATATAAAGAACGAGTGTCTCCAAAGCATAAGTGGAAATAAGTCCATGGTGTGCACCTAAGATACGCGCCTCGTAGAAGCACCATGCCTTCACCAAAATTATACTCCTTTTGAAGAGATGGTCTGTCCTCATCCGATCAATCTCCTCGAGGAAACACAGTGTGCAAAGCCCTCCTAACTGGTTGTAGGATATATCAACTACAATGCTACCCACCAGACACTTCACCAATTTCACCTCTGCTTGAATGTACTGGACTTTCTCAACCAGAAATTCTGCATCCCTGTTGCTGCCCTCCTCTTCCAGAGCTGCCTTCAGCCGCTCGTGCCAAATCTCCCCCAAAGCCACATCTTGGGAAAAGATAGTGAGATCGATGTCGCCATCAGGAAGATAAGTCTTGAGAGGCACAGACCCAAATGTGAACACCTTGCAATGGTAGTTGAAACATTTCTGGATTAAACTTTGCACACGTCGTGCCACAGCATGTCGGCGAATTTCTGACCGTTTAGACGGCTGAATCTGGGCGATGAGATCGGCAGCATACCTCTCAGCGGTCGCCAAAAGCTCATCCTCATTCGCATGACAAGCCGAGGGGCTCATCATCTCGCTCTTAAAGCAGCCTCGCTCAACACCGGCCGCGCCAGGATCGCCCATAAAAGCGATCTATCTTCCTTCCCTTCGCATAAAACAAGGCAGTTCGTCTTTCTCCTGCCGAACTCCCCCGCCACCCGCCTCCGACTTCCCTGCTACGACCTCCTGCCAATCTCTCACCACCTGCTGTGTTGACCACCTTGAGACAACAAGCGCTACGTCGTTAATGAGCGAGCAATCCCATCACCAGAAGCCCTTTCTTCGCTCTCTCACCGTTACTCCGCTGCCTTATTCGTTGTCGACCTAACCCCATCAGATCGCGGGCGGTCGGTCGCCCCGTTCCTCGCCCGTCTAGATCTTTGTCGCCCTCACCCCATCGCATCACGGGCAGCAGGGCACTAACCAGCCGCTCTGCGCAACGTAAACCGGTGGAAAGATTTCTCTCCTCCCTCTCCTCAGCACTGCTCGTTCGCGTTCAATCCTTACCCACAGGTTCCTCGCCTAACAGTGCGACCGATTATCGTCACCTCCACCACGATCCTTCCTCAGTATCAGACAGCGATTGGAAGTCCATACGTAGCTCGAATAAATGCTACCGTCGTGCTGCACCCGCCACAAAACAAGGCAGACGAAACAGGTGAAGAAACCGCCGAAGAAAATACAATCAGTTGGCAAGAGGATGGGCGAGAGAATGAGGGAGGAGGATGGGAGAGAGAATGAGACATGCTCGTCACGACGCCAAAGTAGCCGACGACCAAGGAAGTAGAGAGGATAAAAAGCTTATGACGATCATTCACCGATCTATGACGCGGCAGAACGAAAAAAGACTGATGGACAGCTGTGCGGATAATGAACGCGAAATTGTAAAACAAAGAAAAAAAGAAGGGACGCAAAAGAAGCATACACAAATCCAACCCGATCAGGATGCGATGACGCGTAGACTCCAGGCCTCGGGAGGCCTCCACCAGGGGCCGCCCGCAGAGTTCACGCTCTGCCCTAAGTGAAGGCCTCCACGACACGAACTATCAACGGAAGGATGCCAAGGTTCGAGCCCTGCATCTGAGCCTAGGTCCACACTCCAAGGTGACGGAATTGAACACTCGTCATGATTCACTATCGCGTGGAAACTCGGTAGTATCGATCCAATACCCACTATCCTGACCTCCCTTATGAAACAAAGCGATGATCATGCCACCTAGGCCCAGGGTACGCTGCATCCGAAGAATCACAAGCGAAAAGATCATGCCACCTAGCCCGAGGGAACGTTTCATCCGAAGCAGCACAAGCGGAAATACCGATGCTCCCACAACGATGCCTCCGCTGCACGAAAACATAGAGTAGATTGTACTTCTACTGATCATCCTGCCAATCATGATCATCGGAAAAGCTCCCGCCGGGCGCCTGAATCAGCCTCTACCCATCCTCCTCTACATATGTATTTATAACTACACCAACTGCGACTTCATCCATCTTCCCTCGGTTGAACGTGTGTGCTTGCGTGCGGACAAGGAGGCAATCGACGGTATGGAAGGGCCAGCTATGGCGTCTCTGGATTTAGTTAACCTACTTTCTACGGATCTCGCCAAGGACAAGACGGTATTATCCCTATGCCATTTTTTACTGCTTGTGTGTTTGGACGGTGTGGGAGTGTTTTGGCACGATATTGACTGTGTGACTGCAAGTCATTTTGAGCAACTTTTCCTTTGAGTGAAACCACTGGTTCGTACGAGCCTAAGTTGACGAAGGTAACCTTCCAAGGCTCGCGAACCTGCAACTGCGCCTTTTCTAAGTGGCCTACCGCTTACGCTACCGGCCCACGCCCGCATCGAAACGCTCTTACCGCGTACACCAGTAAAACCACTACCTAGGTTCCTGTGAACTAGCCGTGCTGGACCCGGGTGACCTGGACTGGTTCTCTCTGCCCGGGTGCCACCTGGGTGGGCGGGGCCAGGGGAGATCCGGGCAGGGTCCCAGGCAGCCCCAACTCGAAATATTTGAAAATCCGAAATACCAAAGGAAACCATAAATTATGGAAAAGAATATGGCGCTCACACACACAGCCTTTCGAAACATGCACAATCAACGCCGCGTCTTCGCCACACAAGCTTTCAAAAACAAGTGCCATCAAAAAAGTTTTGAAAGGTTGAAAACTACCGTGTGGAGGCCTCGCGTGCCCCCTCACCGGGTCATGCGCTAATTTTGGCTGCTCGGCGTTGGGTCCGTTACCAGTAGCGCTCGCAGGGTCATGCGCTAATTTCGGCTGCTCGGCGTTGGGTCCGACTCAGCGCAGCACTCTTACTGCTGCGTTAGCCGTGTCCTGCCGGCGTGCAACCCTAATTACCATGCTCACCGTTGACCGCCCAGAGGTGGGGGCATGGTGTGGTCGAGGTGTGCTGGACAACACGGCATCCATAGCCGTTTTTCGTGTGTGTCGTCTACCCTGTTGGAGGTGTTAAACGTGCTTATTGCATCGGGTCCCTCGTAACCCTGTCCTTGAATGGACAGGGAAGTGCCTTGCGCTCGTTTGTGGGACCCATCCAACAGCCCCAATTAGATTGTCATACCAATCTACCCCAATCAGCAATTATTCCTAGAAGGAGATTACAGAGAGTAAGCGAAGTTGTGACGAACTACTTTCCGCAAACACGCGACTTTCTGCGCGGCTGTATTTCAGGGGTTAATCGGGAGTGGACCGCCCAGTTGCATGAATGCCCCAGTCTTTTGGAAAGAGGTTGGGTCCAGCACGGAAATAACTGTTGTCATAGCTTCTTTCTTGTTCTTGTGGGGAGGGGACTTTTTGGTGCAATCACCGCAGAGGGATTTTTTTTTTTTTTCCCTTGAATTTTGAACTTACTCAGGTTTGTGGAATTTCTTTTTGCAGTTAGGACTTTACTTAGGCTAGGAATTTGGGAGCGTCGTAATTTTTGTCTGTAATCGTACAAGGCTCCCTACTCGCGCGCCCCTTGATGTGTCCTATCATGCGCTCTGCCCCCGCCACGCCTAAATTCTAATCGCACCTGTAATCTCCTCTTGCTCCTTCTTGGCAAGCGCAGGTGTAACTGTAATCCTCTCCGTTCTCGATCTCTTCCTTTTCCGCACGAAACTTGACGTTTGTTCCCCGTCTATCTCATTGGCCAGCAGGTGCACGACTAGATCGATGCATGGAGAGCGGCTGCGTCCCCCACGCCGCAGCCCCGTCATGCACCCATAGGCACTTCCTTCTCCTCTCTGCCTCTTGCTTCAGCATAATCCGGAATGATCTCACGCAACTACCGACTGCTATAAAGCTCGCATGTGCGACTAATTCACTCTCTAATCTACACTTGGGAGTTAGCGCAGTCGAGAGGATCGGCTAACAAGCAGAGAACAAAATGGCGAGTAGGGAGTTGGGCAATCCGACGAGCTGTGCCGCGTATGCAGGGTTGACGTGTAGCCGCGAAGGACTGTGGCACACGGGCGAACCTGGCTTGCATACTCGGGCTAAGCGGGATGACAACTTTGGATTGTTGGTAGCTGCGAGGCGACGGACTGCCCGCATCGTGGGAGCTATCTCACGCAACTACCGACTGCTATAAAGCTCACATGTGCGACTAATTCACTCTCTAATCTACACTTGGGAGTTAGCGCAGTCGAGAGGATCGACTAACGAGCAGAGAACAGAATGGTGAGTAGGGAGTTGGGCAATCCGACGAGCTGATGCCGGGTATGCAGGGTTGGCGTGTAGCCGCGAAGAACTGTGGCACACGGGCGAACCTAGCTTGCATACTCGGGCTAAGCGGGATGACGACTTTGGATTGTTGGTAGCTGCGAGGCGACGGACTGCCCCCATCGTGGGAGCTGAGAGAGAGAGAGAGAGAGAGAGAGAGAGAGAGAGAGAGAGAGAGAGAGAGAGAGAGGTGTTAAAACGGTGTTACCTCTTCGCATTTTTCTATCTAATTTAAGTTTTTGATTTCGGCCATTTTGGTTTGCAACACTCTTGGATTTTCCTCTTTCTTCCTTTGATTGATGTATGAAGTATCTTTCCCTCCCCCATCCCTTCCTCTTCAATGTGGAATACTGAATTCATTATCCGTAAATTAGCATACATGAGCGGATGGAGAGGGATTCGAACCCCCAATATTTTGTAATATGTCAGTTCTCAAGACTGATACCTTCAACCACTCAGATATCCATCCAAAGCAAAGACGCCCCTTGTACCTTTCTTTCCACTCCATCAAACACATCGCCAGTGAAGATAAGATCCGAGTCGGGTTTAACGTTTGTACAAACTGACCGATCGATGGAGCGATTTGCGCATTTGAGGGATTGTCGATCGCCGAGTCAAGGGATCATGATGTGTATGGAGTAGGCGTCTGATTGATGTATGGAAAGGATGTATGGAGCCCGGCCCCTTTGTGTACTCTTATGTTTTCAAGTATGCAACATTGATCGACTAGGTCAGGATAGATGCATGAATAGCAAGCGGTTTACAGACTGGCCTGGGTATGGGTGGCGCGACTGACATCTGATGTATGAAAGTGTGTTTCTGTCGAACAATCGTCTAATTTGTATAGGTTGATTCGGAATTAGCGGGAACGGATCATGAGCATGCACGTATACGAATGACCACCAAAACGGCAGTCACCATGTATACGCGTGTCTGCATGATCTGTGAAACCCACCGGCAACAAGTGTTTACACAGAGAGACACCCACCGTGTTCCCTCAGTAGACCAAGTACGAACCTGCCCCAGGCGCCGCCGCCGGCGAAACTAACTACTCGACTCTGAGGAAAGGCAAAACCAAAAGACCTGGTCTTACGCGGAACCACTTGCATTTCTTTCCTTGAAACTTGACACCGGAGATCTCAGTTCCGGCATGGGACTCCACCCCCACTTTCCTAAAATCCTTGGCACACCCCTACTACGCGCTTTCGGGCCCCCTCTTACTCCGAAACAGGAAGTCGTGCTAGGCGTGAGGTCGGTATCGAAGCCGACACGTGTCAAGACCAAGGATTGAGAAGTGATTCGGCTCCACAATTAGACCAATCTGGCGAGTCCAAGCCGAGGACGGCCTAGACAGAGAAACGCGCCAAGGTGCGATCTGATAGTGACCCAAAGTAGATTGGCGGGTCGACAGGCAACCGACATGAACGCTAACCAAGCACCAAATGCTAATGTGCTGCAAGGCGGAGCAAACCCCACTGGACCTTTTCCCGCGCAGCGAGTCCGGGCTCGTGCGCCCATAGCCCCACCAGATTTGTACCTATTCGATCCCACCCATCACGTGGCGGGAGCATGGTTAGCCACACTACGTGAACAACAATACGATAATGATGAGGCCAATATTAATATCCCAACACAGTTAGGAGGCGATGCGCATCATTGGTTTAGTACCTACCTTTGGATATATCTTTCGACATTCGAAAGGGATTTTTTGCACCAATTCGATTATATCCACCCGGAACAAGCTTTCTTCATGATAAAAAACCGAGTGCAGAAACCCCTCGAGT